TTGGGAAGTTACTAATGAATTTTTTGAATTTATTAGTTCTATGTTTGGTCCTTTCTCTGTAGATAGATTCGCAAACTTTAACAATCGTAAACTTGTTAGATACAACTCAAAATTTGGAATCCTGAGTCAGAGGCTGTAGATTGTTTTACACAGAATTGGGTGGGCGAAAACAACTGGCTAGTTCCTCCCATTCATTTGATAGTTTCTACTATAAAACATTTATTAGATTGCAAAGCATATGGTATTTTGATTGTACCTAACTGGCCCTCAGCTGTTTTTTGGCCAATGTTATTCGATTTAGAACTGTCTTATAAGGCGTATGTGAAAGATGTGTTACTGTTTAAAGATACAAGTGAGATAATCAGTCAAGGTCAGAACAAGAACTGTCTATTTGGTTCTATATATTTTGGCTCTGGAATACTTGTGGTACGTTTAGACGCTACAAATTTGTAGTTTATGATGGTGTATTGCAGATGGTTTAGGCCCTGGTACACTTTAAACAAGATTTTTGCCGAGCTGGGCAAAGGTATAGATGATGTATTGCAGATGACAAGTGGTCCTGGTACATCAGAGAGGGTGTATTGCAGATGATGAAGGTCCTGATACACCATATAATATGTTAAAGTTAGAAGATGCTAATTTTTTGCTTTAATAAACACATTTTTCAGATATATTTAAAGTGGGCAGATGGACGGGAATTAATTGTGGATTACAGGATCATCGTCTAGCGGAACTTGCTTCTGAACTACCCAGATATTGTGTAACATCTAAGGCCGAAAATACAGCAAAACAGTACAGGTACGCTTTTAATACCTTTTGTAAGTGACGTAGCAGCTTTAACCCTGGGATTCAATCACTTCCTGCTTCGGAAAACAACGTTGCACTATATATTATACATTTAGCAAAACAATGTAAATCGTCTGGCACAATACATTCAGCTATACATGCCATCAGTTGGGCACATAGCCTAGCAGGTTATATAGATCCTTGTGACTCAGCTTTGGTAAAAAATGTTAAGGAAGGGGCAGTTAGAGAGACATCAAAACCAGTGATTAAAAAAGAGCCTATAACGCCTGAACATTTGAAAACTCTGGTTTCTACATTTGGAGAGGATGGAAATTTATACAATTTAAGAACATTGTGTATGTGCTTATTAGGTTTTGCAGGATTTTTGAGATTTTCAGAAATAGTTAACATTCGTTACTCAGATATCTGTATACAGACTAATTGTGTAGAAATTAACATTGTTAAAAGTAAAACAGATGTTTATAAAACTGGTCATAAAGTTTGTATTGCTAGAACATTTTGTGATACCTGTCCTGTAAATATGTTGGAAAAGTTTTTAAAATTGTCAAACGCTGACATGCATTCTCCTCTGTTCTTGTTTAGATCTCTGTCATTTTGTAAAAAATCCCAAACTTATAAACTGAGATCGGATAATCGTCCAATTTCTTATACAAGAGCAAGAGAAATCATATTGGATTCACTTGAAAAGATTGGTTTAGACAAGTGTAAATTTGGTGTCCATAGTCTGAGATCAGGTGGCGCTACCTCCGCAGCCGCCGCAGGTGTTAGCGACAGACTGTTTAAAAAGCATGGGCGGTGGAGGTCGGAAAATTCTAAAGATGGTTATGTTAAAGAAAACCAGATTGAAAAACTTTCAGTTACTAAGAATTTGGGCATTTAGGGTATTCGTTTCAGTTCTAATCTTCTTTATCTTCGAAATAATTAAACTGCACTTTCAGAGCGCTTCATATCCTATTTCACGAGTTTGTGTTTATTTCATAAATGTTTTATGTTCGTTTGAGTGAAACGAATAAGAACATAAACGTATTTATTAATGTTACGCAAACACGTGTTTGTGTTTGTTTATTCTTGTCATCTATTGGCTGTTAGAATGGTCACCTAGTCAGGTGACATAAATATTCATAGCACGGGCTATTACTGACCGTGAAAGAAATTCTGTATAGGGAAAGCCATTCGAAGGCTCTATTTCGTGCAGTCTTATTAGTCCCACCCACCCGCCCATTGCTTAGTTTTGAATGTTAAACTAGAGTTATACCTTGTTGAAAATATTTATTTTCTATTTTGTAGAATTCTGACATTGATGAGGACAAAGAGATATTATATGTATTGTGTGAAATAATTAAACTGCACTTTCAGAGCGCTTCATATCCTATTTCACGAGTTTGTGTTTATTTCATATATGTTTTATGTTCGTTTGAGTGAAACGAATAAGAACATAAACGATACTAATGATTCGTGAAGGGGTTTTGCTTTCGAACATTTCTACTCTGAATATAATAATTTTTCTGGATTATAGTTTTAATATTTTTCATTAATACACAACAATTAAGATTGCCACTTTTCCTAAGTGTTAAGAATAAAATTAAAATTTGTGAAAGTGCAAGGATGTGTCAATCATACCCATCCAAAATTTGAAGTTTCAATAAAATAACAAAAAATATTAACTTCAAATCTCAGTCTATGCACCTGCTTCAATGAAATGAATACTAATTTGCATATGAAACGATTATGACCAGTCAGAAACTGAAAAAAAAGGGGGGGGGGTTAGTTCAGTGGATTTGGAACTTAGCCAATCTACTTCCTTTTATATATCATCGTCGCAAATCAAGGGCAAAATCGCTGAGTTAGTTAAAAAAGAAAGAAAGCAATATGTTATACAAAATTCATACCTTAAGGAAGATCTATGATTTGACTTTGGCCTAGGCCTAGTGCAGACGACAAGTTTAACGTAAAACAGAAACTTACCACTTAGTTAGCAGGTGGCAACTGAATTTAAGCCCAAGTTAAAAGGTTCCGGCTCCAAATATCATTTCTATAGATAAGTAATATTTGGTAATTATTTTTAAGCCCCCATAATCGAAGATTTAGTTGTCAAATTTCACAAGTGTATTCCTTGCGACAAGACCTTTTTGGGGTACCACCAAATTTGACCTCGTGACCTTGGAGTTTGACTCACTTTTACAAATTAAAACAAATCACCATTCTTTTTTCACCTTGGACATAACTTTTGAATAGTTGGTGCTGGGGCTTTCATATTTCATATATGTATTCTCTACACAACAAAACATCTCAATTAAGGGGGGGGGGGGCTATGTCCGAAAAGTCATTGTATGAAGGGCGTTATTGGGTATTTAAATATTTGACCTTTTGACCTTAGGAAACTTTAACCTTGGCCATAACTTCTGAACAGTTAGTACAACGGCCTTCATATTTCACAGGTGTATTCCTTGTGAAAAAAAAACCCTTTAGATACTGACAATTTTGACCTTTGCAGTTTGGACCAAGACTTTGGAGTTTGACTTGTATTTGAGAAACTTCAAATTCATTTTTATCTGCAAGATTGACATTTATATGATTGCCATTTTAGGAAATCCTTTAAAAAAAAAAAAACAAGAGGCCCACGGGCCTTATAGGTCACCTGAGTATCATGCAACAACTTTCGAACAATTGAATTTGGTTCGTGTTTTAAACCAGAGGCCATGAAACTCACAATTTTGAAAGATGCGCCATTGCTTATCATAGTTATACACATTGCATGCTTACTCTAGTTACTTATATAATAACCAGAGGTAGATCAGAGTAATAAAGAAAATGCACTTCCACTTTATAACCAGTTATGCACCCCAGTGACCCCACCCCACTTATTTTAAAATTTTCGAAATTTTATCATAAATTTTATTTCATCATAAATGGTTATTTAATACCAAAGAGCAGATTTCATTTATTTTCAAACTATGTACACCCCCACTATACCCCTGACCCAGGGGGTATGAAATTAACCATTTTGCTAGATGCACGTTCTTTCCATCATAATTATATATATTTAGATCATTGGCATAATATACCTTGGAGCAAAGGAAAAGATTTTCAAAGAATTAATTTGTTTTCACAATATAATCAAAAGAGTCCCCCTCCCTTACACCAAATGGCAAAACCCCTGACACAGGGGCCATGAAATTCACAAGTTTGAAAGAGGCACTCTTGCTCATCATAACTATGTACTTAGTTAGTTTATTTAATATCCAGGAGCAGAGAAGAAGATTTTCAAAGAAATAATGCATTTTCACTATATAATCAATAAAGCCCCGCCCTATCACTAGAAACCCTGACCCTGGGGCCATAAAATTCACAAGTTTGAAAGAGGCACTCTTGCTCATCATAACTATGTACTTAGTTAGTTTATTTAATACCCAGGAGCGGAGAAGAAGATTTTCAAAGAATAAATACATTTTCACTATATGATCTATAAAGCCCCGCCCTGGCACTAGAACCCCTGACTCTGGGGCCGTGAATTTCACAATTTGAGTAGAGGACTCAATGCTCATTACATTCATACCAACAGTTTGACTGCTTGATGTCCAGGAGTAAAAAAGAAGATTTTAAAAGATTTCATTAATTTTAGTGGTTTTAGCCCCAACCCTCAGGCCCCAGGGGGGCGGGGACCATGAAATTCAAAATTTTTGTTCCCCTTCACCCATAGACGCTGTATGCAAAATTTGGTTGAAACTGGTTCAGTGATTTCAGAGAAGAAGCTGAAAATGTTCAAAAGTTAACACACAACGGATAGCAATAGTTTGAGATGAAATTATGAATTATGTTATCAAATTATCGGTGAACATTTTGAGTAATCTCTCTCTCTCTCTCTCTCTCTCTCTCTCTCTCTCTCTCTCTCTCTCTCTCTCTCTCTCTCTCACACACACACACAGGTACACATGTGCATTCTCTGTATGATAAATTCACTTGCACAAATAGATAGCGGACGGTTGGATTTAAGTGAAATTCCAGCACATACGAAATATATCTATGCAAAAAAAAAAAAAAATGATATGAAGAAAACATGAAGTTCAATTAAGTAGGCAAACTATTGCATTTATTGCATTGTCATTGAGAAAAAGGTTGTAATAAATGGCATTTTAAGAGACCATACTGTCGGAAACAAAGAACTTTCTGAAACCGTGATAAAAATTTCATACCCACAGTAAGGAATCCAATCATTGTTGTTATAAGATATCCACACAGCACGAGAGCAGCTATGCCTGACATCATATATTCATGTATATAGTATTTATGTATATGTAGTGAAGACGTGAGAACGAAGTGTAGGTGTATTGGTATGCATGTGTGTGCGTTGGGGGGGGGGTGATTTCCAAATAATTTAGTGTTGTCAAATCGAAAGATTTTTAGTAACCGGTTACTCGCTTAATCTTGTGATCGAGTACCCGGTTACTCGGATGATTTTTCGTAAAATTTTCCACATCTATTATTTATCCAATATTCTTTACTAATAGGTATAGTAGTAAAATACAAATATACTGTATAAGAACATTATTTACAATACACACAATATCTTCAAAGAATTGCTGATGTTTAGAATTAAAACAAAATAATTCGACACTTGAAGAAGACAAATCAATACCTGTACACATGTAGTGGTCAATCACAATTTTACGTAAAATTGTGATTGACCACTATATACAGGTATTGATTTGTCTTATATAATATTGCGAATTGCTATTTTACGGACAAACTATTATGACAGCAATTGTACACCGTACTTTGAAATATTAAAATACGTGTTACTAAATATACTCATTTTATAAAGACATTACCTCAGAAAAGCTGGACCATAACGTTCTTTAAATCAAAGTACTGTGAGTACTCAAAGACATTGGCATGAATGATTTTTGTTTAAAGTCCCTTTCGAGAATAAAATTTTGAGCAGCGAGGGATATTTTTCTAGCTAGCAATTATTGCGACACGGGATCTCAGTCTGAATTAATGGCTGATCTCCATATCCCGCAGTGGGAGTCGAATCCGTGACGTAAGGATGGACTTCAAATAACAGCACGGAACCAATCACGCACACAAATGGGACCTGCGATGTGAAGATTTATTAGTATTAAAGTTATGGACAATATTTTTACCATCATTCAACTAACTAGTGGGACGTGGGAACTGGTCCTTCAGAATGAGACCGTATAGGTACTGTTGATGATCGCACGAAAAAGATCCCTCATTGCTCACTGGCCCCTAGGCCGATATATCTGGCGTTTTCCAGGCTTTTGATATTTTACATGCCAGAAAAACGTTACCGAGTAAAGGTTTAAAGAACTACGAACGCTAACTCTCGATTCCCGCCTACATTTTGGACCCAATTAATTCAACACTAATAGCAATTTGGTCATAAAATCTTTGTTTAAAACAAAGAACAGTTCCTTGGTAATTGATTAATTTACTTAATATCAGTGCTTAATAGTAAATTGTCCCTAATTCCAGCTCTTGAAAAAAAAAGGGGAGAGGCGATATTTTCCATTGAAATCGGATTTTCAAGCATAAGCATATTTTGAAATAGGATCGAATGTTATTAAATGTTCCTTATATCTTTTCTTATGTTTTATGCCAATAAATTAAACACATATATATTAATAAAATACACTGTTTTAGTTGTAAACCGCTTAGAAATTGGTGAAAAAATAAGCATTTTTGTCGTTTTTTTTTTTTGTCTTTAAACATATGCCCTCCCCTCACATCGCTCACCTGGGGTAGTTAAAACACACAAATCAGTTCAGAATTGAAAAGTTTACTTCTTCAGGGGGGGATTTTATATTACTTGAGAATGTCACTATATCAATAAAGTATACATGCATACTGCCATACTTGAGAGGAAGAGTTTTAAAGATTTTTCCTGTATATTTCTATGTAAAGATTTGATTGCCCATTTTGGCCCCACCTTACTCCCAGGGGTCATGATATGAACAAACTTGAATTAACTTCAACTGAGGATGTTTCAATATTAATATCACCAATCATAGCTTTGTTGATCTCGATAAGATTTTTAAAAGAATTTTCCTATGTATTCCTATGTAAAACTTTGATCAGCCATTGTGGCCCCGCCCTACACAAGGGGGTCATGATTTGAATAAATCTGAATCTACACTACCTGAGGATGCTTCTACATGAGTTTCATCTTTCCTGGTCCAATAGTTCTGGAGAAGAAGATTTTTAAAAAAAATTTCCTAAATATTCTTATGTTAAACCTTGATCAGCCATTGTGGCCCCGCCCTACCTCCAGAAGTCATGATTTGAACAAATCTAAATCTTCACTACCTGAGGATGCTTCCACATGAGTTTCGTCTTTCCTGGCCCAGTGGTTCTGGAGAAGAAGATTTTAAAAGATTTTTCCAATATATACCTATGTAAACCTTTGATCTGCCATTGTGGCCTTGCCCTACCCCAGGGGTTCATGATTTGAAAAAAATAGAATCTACACTACCTGAGGATGCTTCCACTTGAGTTTCATCTTTCCTATCCCAAACTGAAAACTGAATTAGAGGTAGGCAGGACAACAATTCTATCGTTTGCAGTTCTTTGCAGCCCTAAACAGGCAAATAGTGGTGGCCGATCCATATAAGTGAAATATTTCCCAAGAGGGATATAACTCAGCAAAGCAAAAGAATAAAAAAACAAGAGGCCCATGGGCCACATTGCTCACCTGAGCAATGTGGCTAGGGAAAACTAGAACTGTCCAATAGGGACAAATACCCCCCGCTGGGGTTTTCAGAGAAGGTGCCAATTCAAAAATACTTCATGGACCTAGAGGTGTTCACAATTTACTTACAAAAATTTGCAGTGAAATATAATTGCTCATCATGTTTCTTAATGAATGAAACAAAAGTGCAACCAAATGAAACATCAATACTAATACATTGTAATTCCATTGTAACATTTTTTTTTTATTTTTTCATTTTATTTTTTTTTTTATTTCTGCATAAAAAAAAATATATTGCAATTATGTGTTGTGTCACTCTGCAAACTGATTGTTTAAAAAAAACCATAATACAAAATCAAATTAATCTTGATACATCAAATTGAAATGCATTTTGAAAATAAAGAGCTGGTCATCCAGTAATGAAGTGCTTTGACAGACAATAAATTACAATTAAGAGAATAAGAGAAGAGAGATCTTTAATTCTTGTGCCTTATTCCCTGGAGATTAGATAACACACACACACGCTTGATAAGAGATATGCCTTAACAACTTCCAACACAAAACTCATTAATTTATCTTTAACTGGATGCATGTCCAGTCATTATTCCCAAGAGACAAATGAAATTACATTATCTTCTGTGCAATGTAAAAACTGTTTTTAACACTTGATGATGTTTCTTTTTTTAAAGTTTTTATGAGTAGTTTTAAGCTGTAGTATTTTTGAACAGATATTCTAGATTCTATATCTCAAACCTTATACATGAGCCCAAAATGAACAAGTCAATTAAAATAAAAAATAAAACCTGTAAAATGCAAAAAAATTAACAAAAAGAGTTGAAAATTTCAGGTACACACCTTCATCTGGTGAATAATAAGTGTACAAATTTTCAGATTAATCCTTGCAATAGTTTCTGAGAAACGGTCCGGACAAAACCACAAAATAAAAATGAAAAAACACTTGTAAAATTCAAAATAATAATCGAATCAAGATGAAAATATCAGGTGCACAACTTCATATGGTGAATAATATGTGTACAAATTTTCAGACAAATCCTTCCAATAGTTTCTGAGTAATGGTCCGGACAAAATCTCGTCTACAGACAGACAGGCAGACAGACGGACAGACAGACGGACAGACGGACATGGTGATTCCAATATACCCCCCCTAAACTTCGTTTGCGGGGGGTATAAAAAGCATAAATCAGTTTATTATTAACAAGAGGCCCACGGGCCTTATAGGTCACCTGAGTATTGTGTTACAACTTTCAAACAATTAAATTTGGTTCGTGTTTAGGCCATGAAATTCACAATTCACAATTTTGAAAGAGGCACCATTGCTTATCATAATTATTAACTGAACATGCTTACTCTATTTACTTAATACCCACAGGTAGACCAGAGTAACAAAGAGAAAATGCACTTCCACTTTATACCCAGTTGTGCACCTCACCCCAAAGGAACCACTGACCCAGGGGCCATATATTTCGAAATTTTGCAAATTTTATCATAAAATGGTTGATTAATACAAAAGAGCAGATTTCAAAGCATTAATTTATTTTCAGACTATGTAACCCCCCCCCCCCCCTTCTGACCCAGGGGGCATAAAAAAAACCCACTCTGCTAGATGCACCTTTCTTTATCATAAATATATATACTTGGATCATTGGCATAAAACCCAGAAGCAAAGGAAAATATTTTCAAAGAATTAATGTATTTTTACTATATAATCAATAGAGCCCCACCCTAACACCAGAACCCCTGACACTGGGGCCATAAAATTCACAATTTTTGAAAAGGCACTCTTGCTCATCATAACTATGTGCTTAGTTAGTTTATTTGATACCCAGAAGCAGAGAAGAAGATTTTCAAAGAATAATGCATTTTCACTATATAATCAATAGAGCCCCACCCTAATGCCAGAACCCCTGACCCTGGGGCCATAAAATTCACAATTTTAGAAGAGGCACTCTTGCTCATCATAACAATGTGCTTAGTTAGTTTATCTAATACCCAGAAGCAGAGAAGAAGATTTTCAAAGAATTAATGCATTTTCAATATATGCTCAATAGAGCTCCGACCTAAGACCAGAACCCCTGACCCTGGGGCCATAAAATTCAAAATTTTGGTAGAGGCACTCTTGCTCATCATAAATATGCACTAAGTTAGTTTAATTATTACCTAGGAGCAGAGAAGAAGATTTTCAAAGAATTCATGTATTTTCACTATATAATCAATAGAGCCCCGCCCTAACACCAGAAACCCTGACCCTGGGGCCATAAAATTCACAATTTTGGTAGAGACACTCTTGCTCATCATCACTATGAACTTAGTTAGTTTATTTCATACCTAAGAGCAGAGAAGAAGATTTTCAAAGAATTCATGTATTTTCACTATATAATCAATAGAGCCCCGCCCTAACACCAGAACCCCTGACCCTGGGGCCATAAAATTCACAATTTTGGTAGAGACACTCTTGCTCATCATCACTATGAACTTAGTTAGTTTATTTCATACCTAAGAGCAGAGAAGAAGATTTTCAAAGAATTCATGTATTTTCACTATATAATCAATAGACCCCCGCCCTTACACCAGAACCCCTGACCCTGGGGCCATAAAATTCACAATTTTGGTAGAGGCACTCTTGCTCATCATAACTGTGCATTTAGTTTCTTAATTTAATACCTAGGAGCAGAGAAGTATTTGCACACAATATAATCAATAGAGCCCCACCCTAACACCAGAACCCCCTGACCCTGGGGCCATAAAATTCAAAATTTTGGTAGAGGCACTCTTGCTCATCATAAATATGCACTAAGTTAGTTTAATTATTACCTAGGAGCAGAGAAGAAGATTTTCAAAGAATTCATGTACATGTATTTTATCACTATTTAATCAATAGAGCCCCACCCTAACACCAGAACCCCTGACCCTGGGGCCATAAAATTCACAATTTTGGTAGAGGCACTCTTGCTCATCATCACTATACACTTAGTTAGTTTATTTAATACCTGGGAGCAGAGAAGAAGATTTTCAAAGAATTCATGTATTTTCACACTATATAATCAACAGAGCCCCACCCTAACACCAGAACCCCTGACCCTGGGGCCATGAACTTCACAATTTTGGTAGAGGTACTCTTACTCATCATAAATATGTACTTAGTTAGTTTATTTAAAATCCAGGAGCAGAGAAGAAGATTTTCAAAGAAATAATGCATTTTCACTATATACTTATTTAGTCCCACCCTAGCACTAGAACCCCTGACCCCAGGGCCATGAATTTCACAATTTTGGTAGAGGACTCAATGTGGATTACAATCATGCAAAGAGTTTGACTGCTTGATGTCCAGGAGTAAAGAAGAAGATTTTTAAAGATTTCATTAATTTTAGGGGTTTTGGCCCCATCCCTCAAGCCCCAGGGGGGCAGGGACCATTAAATTCACAATTTTTGTTCCCCTTCACCCATAGATGCTGTATACCAAATTTGGTTGAAATTGGTTCAGTGGTTTCAGAGAAGAAGCTGAGAATGTTCAAATGTTAACACACGATGGACGACGGACGTCGCATGACGACGGACGAAAACGGATAGCAATAGGTCACCTGAGTGACCCAGGTGACATAAAAATCGTCACGTAAATCGAAGGTTTTTACAACGCATGGATCTATAGTTCTTTGCTTTATCTGTCCGAATTTTCTCAAGCAGAGAACTACAGTTCTGCAGCTATACCTGAGGATGCCTCCATATGAATAGGACTAATCATGGCTTTGCTATTCTTGAAAAGAAGATTTTTAAAGATTTTTTCTACATGTTTCTATTTAAAACTTGGATTCCATGTTGTGGCCCCGCCCTTCCCCCAGGGGTCATGATTTGAACAAATTTGTATGTCCACTACCTGAGAATGCTTCCATAAAAATATGATCGTTCTTGAGAAGATTTATAAAAAAAATTTCTATATATTTCTATGTAAAATTTTGATCGGCCATTTTGGCCCCGCCTTACCCCCGGGGGTCATAATTTTTTATTTAACTTGAATCTACACAACCTGAGGATGCTTCCATATGAATATGATCAATTATGGCTTTGCTATTCTTGAGAAGATGACTTTTAAAGAATTTTCCTATACATGTCTATGTAAACATTGATCGCCCACTGTGGCCCCGCCCTACCCCCAGGGGTCATGATTTGAAGAAAATTGAATCTACACTACATGAGGATGCTTCCACATAAATATGATCAATTATGGCTTTCCTGTTCTTGAGAAGAAGAATTTTAAATAATTTTCCTATATATTTCTATGTATAACTTTGATCAGCCATTGTGGCCCCGCCCTACCAGGGGTCATGAATTGAACAAACTTGAATCTACACTACCTGAGGATGTTTCCACATAAGTTTCATCTTTCCTGGCCCAGTGGTTCTTGAGAAGAAGATTTTTGAAAATTGCCAATAATTTTTCAGTAATTATTAATTATCTCCCCTTGGAATGGAGCTTGGTCCTTCATTTGAAGAAACTTGAATCCCCTTCACCCCTTTGTGGCAAGTTTGGTTGAAATTGGTCCAGTGGTTCTTGAGAAGAAGTCGAAAATGTGAAAAGTTTACAGACGGACAGACAGACAGCTAGACAGACAGACAGCCGGACGAAATGTGATCAGAAAAGCTCACTTGAGCCTTTGGCTCTGGTGAACTGATAATTTTCAAGACATAAAACTGCAAGTACTTTTAGTGCGTTAATAAATCTAATTGATTCATCAGTAAAAAATGATAGGAATTTATTGTTATAATCCTGATAATTGACGAATTTCCACATGCTGATAACCTAGAATGTGTCAGGCCATAAAAAATTAATTTTTTGGTTTTCAGGCCCTCCCTCATCTCTTCCAAGGGTGCCTTATTGACTCTTTTTGTTGCTAAATCAATAAAATAAAAACAACAAATCACCTCCTTCATCATTTCTTGAAAAAAGGCCTGAGAACCAAGGAATTAACTTTGCATTGCCTCCTGTGAGGATTTTAATATCATGATTTTTGCAGCGGTAATGGACAACACAATAAAGTATCGTCGGATCATTTGCAGCAGTAGCATTTTCAATGAAAAAATGTTTGCTTATTCTTCACTCGGTTCAATTTGTACTAGTAGCTTGCATGGTGCAGTGGTTAGACCGTCTGCTCAGTCAAGAGTCACGGAGTAAGGAGCTAATCCTCACGTCACAGGTTCAAGTCCACTGCAGGACGTGGCCTGGGGACCGGTCCTTCGGATGAACCCATATAAGCCAAGGTCCCGTGTCGCAGTATTAATTGTTGGCATGAAAAAGATCCCTCACTGCTCAATGATCCTGACTGCCGAGTATAGGTATAAATCAATATATTTGCAGCTCTCCACCAGCAAGTGGTCACGTCTCTATATAAGTGAAAAATTCTCTCGAGAGACCTTAAACAACAAAGAAATAAACTATTTTTTTTTTTACATTGTAATGTTTGTATCCTGAAAATCTAAAAATATGTGTTTATATCTTACACACACCCATGTTGTAAATCTTTTTTTTTATTATTTCACAAATTAAAAACTATAAATCCAGAAAATTAAAATAAAATCAGATATACCATTAAGACTAAGTTGAAAGTTTAAAAAAATATTTTTCCCATAATTTTATACCTGTAATCATCAGAGAATTATTTAACTGAACTAATTAATAAACAAGAGGCCCATGGGCCACATCACTCACCTGAGTAATTTGGGTGATGCAATTCTTTACCAGATTCCCCCTCTTGCTATACCTATCGTGCCCCACTACCCCCTTCCCTTTAATGATTTTAAAACTTTATAATCTACACTACCCCAAGATGCTTCCATATATGATAAGTTTCAGCTTTCCTGGCCCAGTGGTTCTTGAGAAGAAGATTTTTAAAGATTTGTTCTATATATTTCTATGTAAAACTTGGATTGCCTATTGTGGCCCCGCCCTACCCCCAGGGGTCATGATTTTAAAACTTTAGAATCTACACTACCCCAAGATGCTTCCACATAAGTTTCAGCTTTCCTGGCCCAGTGGTTCTTGAGAAGAAAATTTTTAAATATTTGTTCTATATATTTCTATGTTAAACTTGGATTGCCTATTGTGGCCCTGCCCTATCCCCTGGGGTCATGATTTTAACAATTTAATATCTACACTACCCAAGGATGCTTCCACATAAGTTTCAGCTTTCCTGGCCCAGTGGTTCATGAGAAGAAGATTTTTAAAGATTTGTTCTATATATTTCTATGTAAAACTTGGATTCCCTATTGTGGCCCCACCCTACCCCCGGGGGTCACTATTTTAACAACTTAATATCTACACTACCCAAGGATGCTTCCACATAAGTTACAGCTTTCCTGGCCCAGTGGTTCTTGAGAAGAAGATTTTTAAAGATTTGTTCTATATATTTCTATGTAAAACTTGGATTGCCTATTGTGGCCCCGCCCTACCTCCGGGGGTCATGATTTTAACAATTTAATATCTACACTACCCCAAGATGCTTCCACATAAGTTTCAGCTTTCCTGGCCCAGTGGTTCTTGAGAAGAAGATTTTTTAATGACCCCACCCTATTTTTGTCTTTTCTTGATTATCTCCCCTTGTAAGGGGACTTTGCCCTTCATTTTAACAATTTAAACTCCCCTTCACCCAAGGATGCTTTGAACCAAGTTTGGTTAAAATTGGCTCATCGGTTCTTGAGAAGAAGTCGAAAATGTGAAAAGTTTACAGACGGACGGACGGACGGACAGACAGACAGCTAGACAGACAGACGGACGGACGGACGACGGACAAAATGTGATCAGAAAAGCTCACTTGAGCCTTCGGCTCAGGTGAGCTAAAAATAATGGCTCATCTCTCAATGTTCACTTTCGATTTCAACCACAAATAGATCGGCCTCTCCTGTAACCAATTATTTTTTTTTAGAGTTTCAAGCTTCCATTACTTTCTGCATCATTTTATGGTGTTTAAACTTTTCTATTGATACTGCTTTTGGGGTTTTTTGTGAAGGGGGGGGGTGTACTCTAGTTGGAAAACCAGGAAACAACTGTAATCCCTGACACAAAGCAATATTTAACATAACATCTTACAGACTTTATAAAATGTCCTGTAAAAAATAAAATATGAGAATTTTCTGTTTTCTTCAGATATGTATTTGAATTTCAAATGATAAAGTGGCAATGACATAGTATCAATAACTTTGGAATATCATTGTTATTGATAATAAAAACTTAATTTCAATGAATGCTTGGGCACATTACACAGTTTGCTGATAGTATGATGTTGCTTGGACACCATAAACTATGAATATTACCATTAGCATTTATGTACATTGAGATTTATTTTCTACCTGAGATCTACAAATATATAATTTTATGACATGAGTAATGGAATCTATTATTTTCATATATGTCATGGTTACTGGTTGTTACTTGGTCCATTTTCTATACTTTCTCCTTTTAAAACCTACAAAACAGAAACTCAGATTTGTTAGCTGGATTATGTTTGTAAGATTTACTAAAAGGAAGAAAAAAGAGACAATGCATTCTGTTACATATTTTTGGCTTGCAGCTATTCAGTATAAATTGATGCAGTTTCTTTAAAATCATACAGGTAATTTACTGCAGTTGTACAGATTCAGTGGACTGTACCTTTCTGGCAAACTGGGGTAGAACAAAGGCACTCCTATGGACATCTGCATTGTAGTACTGTAGTTTTAGTTTGATCATTTCTTCCTGAGTGAACTTTCTAACAGGCTCCTTGAAGTCAGCATCCTATAATAGTAAAACTACAGAGCTCACCTCAATGAATGTTTGTCTTTAAGTAAGGCAAAGTCCCACATTAAACTAACAAGAGGCCCAAGGGCCTTGAATCGCTCTTCCGATAAATTATACAATCTATCTTAAGACCCAAGATGCATCAACTGACAAAGTTTGATGATTCTTAGCCAGTTAGGATTGAAGATATTTAAATGTAACTATAAAATACTATAAGTAGGTCATGGTGACCTACTTTTTGATAGAAATTTTCTGAGGACACAAGATGCATTAATTGAAAAATATTGATGATTCTAAGCCAATAAGTACTTTAGATATTCAAAAGTGGGTCACAGTGACCTACTTATTGGTCAACATTCTCCAAAAACCCAAAGTGCATCAACTGACAAAGTTTGACAATTCTAAGCCAATAAATACCCTTGAATACTTAAATATAGCCATAAATGTCACAAGTAGGTCACTGTGACCTATTTTTCGATCATCATTCTTGGAAAACCCAAGATGCTTCAATTGACAAAGTTTGATGGTTCTAAAACAATAAGTACCCAAGATACCTAAAAAATAGCTACAAAATGTCAAAAGTGTGACCTACTTTTTGGTCGACATTCTCCAAAAACCCAAGATGCTTCTACTGACAAAGTTTGATGATTCTAAGCCAATCAGTACCTGAGATATTTAAAAGTAGGTCACTGTGACCTACTTTTTGGTCGACATGCTTCAAAAACCAAAGATGCATCAAATGACAAAGTTTAATAATTCTAAGCCAATAAGTAATCTAGCTATAAAATGTCAAAAATAGGTCACCGTGACCTACTTTTTGGTCAGTGATCTCTAAAAACCAAAGATACATCAACTGACAAAGTTTGATGATTCTAAGCCAATCAGTACCTGAGATATTCAAAATTAGGTCACTGTGACCTACTTTTAGGTCAACATGCTTCGAAAACCAAAGATGCATCAAATGACAAAGTTAAATGATTCTAAACCAATAAGTACCTGAGACACTTATATATAGCCATAAAATGTCAAAAGTAGGTCACTGTGACCTACTTTTTGGTCAATGATCTCTGAGAACCCAAGATGCTTCAAATGAGAAAGTTTGATGATTCTAAGTCAATAAGTACCCGAAATACTTCAATCTAGCCATAAAATGTCAAAAGTAGGTCACTGTGACCTACTTTTTGGTCGACATTTTCTGAAGACCAAAGATGCATCAACTGACAAAATTTGATGATCATAGGTCTAATAGTATTCAAAATATGCCTTTAAAACAATTTGAAAACAAATGCCTGCAAAGTTCAAAAAGTAGGTCACAATGACCTACTTTTTAATAAATATGTTTTAAGGCCCCAAGATGCATCAACTTACAAGATTTGGTGATTCTAAACCTTTCGGTGTCAGAAAGAATGAGATTAAATATTTTAGAAAAGATTGGCCATAAAATTCAAAAGTAGGTCACGATGACCTACTTTTAAATTAATGTTGTTTGAGGACCCAAGGTGCACCAACTGACAAAGTTTTATGATCATAGGCCTTAAAGTGTCCAAAGTATGCCTCCAAATCAATTTAAAAACAAAAGCCCGTAAAATTTAAAAAGTAGGTCACCGTGACCTACTTTTGTGTTAACATGATGTGAAGTCCTGAGATGCATCAATTTATAAGATTTGATGATCCTAGTCTTTATAGTAAGCAAAATATCAACATTTATATTAAGTGTAAATTTTGGTCAACTTTGAAGTGACCTTGAGACCACGCCCTTTGCCCCAGGGTCATGCCTTGAACAATTTTTAATCTTCAACATATCCCGACCCTTGTATGTAAGTTTGGTGAAAATCTGCCTCGTGGTTCTGGAGAAAAAGATTTTTTAGCAACCAGTACTTTTGATTTAATTTTCCTGATTATCTCCACTTGTTTTAAGGTCCCACCCCCTAGTTTTAGTATAAATGGTAGCCCTTGGGCCAAGGATACCCTGTGACAAATTTGACACTGATTGGCCAGGGGGTTCTTGAGTTATGGCCCATATTCTAAAAAGTTAACACACACCGCACACCGCACGACGCACACCGCACAAATGGCCAAAGCATTAGCTCTTTGAGCCTTTGGCTCAGAAGAGCTAAAAATCCAGATAGTGTACATCCCAAGATGCAACATTAATGCAATTTTGATCTGATAGGGCTTGCAGTTACTTAGGAATTCAATCCAAAAACCTCAAACTAGTCACCCATCCAGAAATTGTTATTTGAATCTAGCATTTGAAGCAAGTTTGAGAGTATTCATCCCTTGATGCATCATCCTTGCAAATTTGATTCAGATGGGCCTTATAGTTTCTTGGTAATACACCTGCATCCAAAACTGTAACTTGGTCCATTATGTGAAAAAGATGTGTTGTATCAAGCATCCTAAGCACACCGGATAGAACGGCGCATTCGGGGTGGCGGTGGGGCGTGACTCGGGGTGGCGGCACCGAAGCGAGAAAAACACCATCAAGGTGTGTTTACCTGAATTTTTTT